TAAGGTGGGTACTGGCATTAGCCTCATTTCCTAGTTGAGGAAACGGGTACAGAGGGCTTAGGTAACTGGTCCAGAAACACACAGCAGGGAAGCAGCAGGGCCAGGATTTAAACCCAGGCAGTCTGGCTCCAGAGCCTCCATTTCTAACCACTACGGGTGGACGTGGGAATGCACCCCCTCCCACCCCCACCCCCACCCCCGACTACTGCCCTCAAAGGGGTCTCGGTGTGAATATCTAGAAGCAGTGGAAGCTTCTCCCTTGACTCCCTCCAGCGCTGCCTCCCCACTACCGCCCCCCGCCCCCCCATACCCCTCACCACCTATCCTCCACCATTCTATGGTAGAGCAAAAGGAGAATGAACTTTGGAGTCAGACCGCATTTGGTGGTTCAAAGTGATCGTTTGGTATCAAAATATCTGGATTTGAATCCGGACTCTCCCGTTCACTTAGCTGTGTGATCTTGGTCAAGTTACTTAACCACTCTGCTTCAGTTTCCTTATCTGTGAAGTGAGGATCATAACGGTACCTCCCCTGTAGGGTCATCATGAAGATGTAATACAACAGTGCGTGTAAAGCAGTTGGCCTAGTATTTAGCACATAGTAAGTGCTCAATTATTACTAGCTGGGTAATCGCAGGCAAGTCAATTCACCTTGCTGGTTTGCAGATTTCTCATGCATAGAGCATAATAATCTTTCTCACAAGAGTGACAAGAAGATTAAATGAAATAATGTTAGAAACTCAGTAACTACCCTTCTCCCTCAGAGGCCTAAATGAACTACCACCATCACTTAGACTCCTCTTGTGGGAGTGGGGAGAACTGACCTTTCTTTTTTGGAAGACTTTTTAAAAAATTATAAAAATAACACATTTATTTTACATACAGAGAGAAAAAAATGTGGACGTGTCTACACCAAAGCGTTACGCCATTTTTCTCTGGGGAGTGGGATTAGGAAATGAATATTTCCACTTTAACTTTATTGCACTTGTGTATTGTTTACATTTTTTACAACTACCAAGTATTACTTTAAAAATGAAAATACATACACACTGTAGATAATTTATCTCCTTTTTTCCCATGTATTTCTTTTAAACAGCATATTTTTTTAAACCCAGTTTGAGAGTCTTTGTCTTCTAATAGGGAATGTAATTACCTTTATTATCATAACTGATACGTTTGTCTTACTGCTGTCATTTTGTTTTATGCTGTCCATTTCTCATGCTTCCACGTGGTGTCCTGTTTCCTTTGTCTTTTGTGACAGGCAATATGTTTCCTTTCGTTTTAATTTTCTACTGGGATATGGAAAGTAGAAAACCTGCTTGTCATCCTATTTGTGGATGCTTTTAAGTCTTTTACAAATATGTTTGAAATTATATTCTCTCTAGTGATATAATTCAAGAAAAATACAGTAACGGGGTAGCCAAGAGCCTGGGTTTGGATTCTGGTTCTGTCACTTACAAGCTGGGAGGACCCTGGGCAAGTGACTTAGCTTCTCTGTGCTTTAATGGGACAATAACAACACCTGCTACCTAGACTGGTACCTGGCTGAAATGAGGTGACACCTGTAAACCACCTACCGTAGTGATGTATAATTAGTTCGTTCTTCCTTAAAAGAGACAAGGAAGAGATGAATGCGGGGGTGAGAACCATGCGTTCCTTTGTAGCTGTTTCACTACTTGGAAGTCTTTCTTAGGAAATTCCTGATTTTAAACATATGGATCTCTTATGTCCTCTGTTCTGTAGGTCAGGGGTCAGCAAACTACAGCCCGGGGGCCAAATCCGACCCATTCATTTCTGTTTGGTCAAAGCTGTTTTTGCATAACGATGGCAGAGTTGAGGGGAGATCTTAGGGCCCTCAAAGCTGAAAGCACTTCCTAGCTAGCCCTTTAAGAAAAAGTTTGCCGACTTCTGCTTTAGATCAGCTAGATGATCATCCTTCTTTCTAAATTTAGGAGAAGAAGCCATTTTCTCCCTTGTCCTTTTATAGCCTCTCAAAAGCTAAGAGGCTTTTAGCATATGTTAAAAGATTTTTTAAAAGTCCATTAGCTTCCACATTTAATTGTCCACAAGGTGGGGATACTTAATCAAAAACAAAGCTAGAAAAAATGGAAAGACAAAGATGCTGATTACAAAGCAGGGTTCTTCCAAGGCTCAACCCAGGAGGGAAAGGGGCCAAGGAGGGGCCAGATTCCAGGAGCTTCTTACCCTGTCTGCTCTACGGTTTCAAGTCCAGAATTGGCCACCCTAGGTGGCGTCCGGCTCTCACTCTGGCTCTCTAACCTGCTGCTCCCCAGGTCTCCGGAAACCAGGTTGGTATCAGATGCCCATCATTCTAAGAAGACTGAGCAGACTCCCCTTGTGCCAAGTCAGCATCTCTCCAACAGGCTGCCCCCTTATCTCTGGTTGTCCACTGTCCCCCAACCTAAGCATTTTCCCCTCCAGGGACAGAACGAATGAGACAGCTCTAATTTCAAAATTAAGACTCAGCCTATGAAGCAGTGAACCGCTTTAAGGTCCTTTAATGAAGGTCGAGTTCTCTTGCACATTCACTCATGGTCTGGAGTGGTTCACTGCACCGGCAGAACTATGGTCTAGGAGCACCTGATTCAGAAAAGTGGAGGAGGGTTCTGTAGTTACCAAGTCGTGATCCCTCTCAGGGGGGTCAACTGCACTGGGACTGAGCCCCCACAGGCTCAGGGGCACTGTGGTCTGGGCTTCTGCCCCCGGAAGTCCTATAGTCTTGGTTGGGAGATAGGGCCAAGAATCTTGGAACTGGTAAAGAAAAATGTAGTCACGGTGAGACCAAATATCTGATAGGGTGGTCCGGCGGTGGCCCACAGAGCAAGGGATCCAGGAGGAAGGAGAGATCAGGTGAGTGGGAGACAGCAGGGAAGATGTCCTGGGTGAGATGGACCACGAGGAAAACCAAAGAAGTCAGAGGAGGTTGACGAGCATGAGGGAGAATGGGGGGCCCAGCTTGTAGGAAAGGTGAGACCACTGACCGACAAGCCCCCAGACCCTGGGCTCTGCCTCACCCCCAAACAACCCCATCAGACACGAGTGGTTATGCCCCTGCTGCCGACAAGGGAGCCACCCAACCCATCGGGTCCACAACTGGGAGGGGGCAGAGACAGGAGTTTCACGGTTCCCTGACACCAAAGCTTATGCTGTTTCCAAAAGTGCTCGCTCTGCTGGGTAAAAACAGCAGAGGAGGTTGTGTGGACGTGGTTGTGTGACCGTGGAGGGCAGGAAGACGCCTGTTTGCGTCGCGGCTGGAGCAGGCACCTGGAAGGACGAACCACCACGTGATCCCCCGAAGTGGACCGATATACACCTGATGATGTCAGGGATGATGAAAATCAGTGGCTACCACGCTCACAGCCAACGCTGACTGAGCGCTGCCCCTCTGCCAGGCACTGCTCCAGGGGCGGTGCCTGCCCACGACCACCCTGTGAGGGGGCTCCCATTATGAACTGCACTTTACAGATGGGGCAGCTGAGGCACAGAGAAGTCAAGTAACTTGGCCCCGGCGACTCAGCGGGTAAGTTTCAGGGAGGAGACAAAACGCAGTCTGGTGAGAGTCAGGGCTCTGGAGGCCATGAGGGAGGCTCTAACCTAGTTAAAAAGTCATTCATTCATTCATTCAGTGATTGATCAACCAGTATTGACTGAGCATCTAGCAGGCATCAAGCAATATGCCAGCTGTGGGGATACGAGCCCAAGGAAGATTCCCTAACCTCACGGAGCTTACACACCAGCAAGAGCATGGCTAACACTTATGCTAGGAACTCGCTCTCTGCCAGGAAGTGCCCTTTACATGTGCATCTTATTATCATCTCCCCACTTGTTTTTTAGCTGAAGAAAAACAAACAAACCAGAGGCTCAGAGGGAAAAAGGCGACTCGCCAGGATTCCAGCCCAGGTCCCTCTGACTCGACGGCCCACCTTGACGCCACCCTCTCTGCCTTGGACCCTGTGCCCTTGGTGGTCTCTCCTCCCCGCTCCCCCTGCCTGTCAGCTCTGGGGCAGCGGTCGCCCCGAGGCACGCCTCCCTCGCTGCTCTGCTCTCCTGTCCTTCCCCCTTGCTGGCCGGGGTGCTTGGATTTGGGTCTGGGGACTGCGTATAGAGAGGTCCCTTAGGTCGCTACCCTCTATCCATCACGCGAGGTAAGAGGAAGGCGCTTTCTGGGTCCCAGAAGCAGGGAACTGCAGCCCTTGCCTCCACTGTCACTGCCTTCAAGGGGTCTGTGGGAGACTCACTTTTCACCCATTATTCACAAGTATTTATCGAGGGCCTATTCTGTGCCAGGCATTGTGCTTGGTGCACAAGTTTTACATAATTCCTGCCCTTAAGAAGCTTAATTTGTGTTTTCCATGCCTGCAGTTGGGGGGACCAGATGGCTAGCCTCTGAAACTGAGTCAAAACCTGTCTGCGTGGCAAGGCAGGACTGAGGAGACACCATAACAACCCCTGTGCTTGCTTCAAGCTGTGTCTTTTTTCTGGCTGGTCTGCCCCTGGTCTCCTGGAGATTCACTGCAAGGATTATCAAGGCAGCATTTAACAGGGACACCAAGGCCAAGCCTGGGAGATGTCCCAGGGAATTGGGGGAAATTAGCATGTGGAGAAGGAAAGAGTGGCAGGCAGCTTGAAAGACACGCAAACTCACAGCTCTGCCAACACTGCTTCAGGCTGATGGAGCTCCCCTGTGCAGGAGCTGGGAGCGGGGCTCCTAATGGCTGTGATACTGAGAGCATTCCCAGTTGAAAGAAGAGTGTTTCTGATGCCTGACAGTCTAGAACCAGCATTTCTCCTGTTTAATCTCTGGTTATAATTCAAATTTCTGTGCATTGTGGTTCTATAAAGCCCCGGCCATTCTGGGGTGAGGATGAGAGGGTGGTCCCATGTCCTGGGAGAAGAGGACGACTGGGGTTTGGGCCACTCGGTCCCCCTCCTCAGCCTCTCCGGCTGACAGCCCCGGCCCCCGGCCCGGCAGGCACGCACCTTCACACCGCAGCACGGCACTGTTCCAGACCACGCTGCCCTCCTTCAGGATGCAGGTGATGGTCTCTGAACCCTGAGTCCCGAGGAAGCCTTCATCGCAGAGGAAGGAGATGGAGCTTCCCAGCTGGAGGCTGTCACCAAACCGTTTGCCGTTTACTGGAACGCCCGGATCTGGACACTCATTGTGTCGAAAAGCTGTGTGGATACGGGTCAAGGATGGGATTAGACAGAGCTGGCGTGCAGATGGACCCCCAAAGAAAATAAGCTTCATTATCAAATAAGCTCCCCCACTTCCCCAAGAGCCTGGCATGCTGGGGGGAGAGCTACATACCCTAGAACCACACTGGGCACAAAGAAGGTACTTGTTAAACTTATCTCCTGCCTTCCTGAGCACCGAATCCAACTTCTTTCTAAAGCACATTTATAGATCAGGCAGCGGGGCTGTTTCTCCTGTTGGCTCATTTACACCAAATAATGATTCTGTGACGTAGGTATTATTACCCCAGTTTACAAATGAGGAAACTGACCCTCAACACGGTTAAGGAGCAGATCTGTGTCCTTAATGTCAAATCCATTCCATGCGTCCCCACCTTCAGATAGCTATGGGATCATTTATGTTGCAGGAAAACCGGGCTCTAAATCCTGTGACACTAATAGATACCAAGCACCATAAAGTAGGTGCCCTGGAATTAACCCTGTCTGAAGCCATTCCCTTCATTTCCTCGCCCCTTGTCAGGCTGCCTCTCACTCTGCCCAGACAATTGCTAATACCATGGTGGTGGTGGTGGGGGGTGGGGGGCGGGAGGAAAGAGTCAGAACACTTGTGGGTTTAATCAAGCTCTGCCTCTTATTAGTTACATGGTTCTGGGCAACTTATGTAATCTTGCTGAGCCTCTGTTTCCTAACCTATAAAATGGGCCGTTCTGAGATAGGAATAACATGAAAGGTGATTCGAATTTGCAAGTGGCGAATGCTTGGTAAGCACCTGACGGGTGGTCAGTGCCCCTTAAGTCTGTGCTCCCTTCCTTCTTCCTGTTCCCAACCTTCCTCCAACAGGGGTGCCCAGTTCTCACACTCCAGTCTGAGGCCACGCCCTATTTGCATCCCTGCTGTTTTAAGGACGGTGGCTTCCCAGTGGAGACCAGGCTCCACGGCTGCGAGGGCATGGGCCACTTTAGAGGCCTCTGAGATTCCCTAGTGACCGAAACACTTGCACAGTCAGAAACAGAAGCAGCCCTGGAGGCTGTCAGGTCATCTTGCTGGAAGCAAACCTGGTGATCCTTCCTACTGAAGCTGGGCTGAGGGAGCATCTGACACAGAGACGATCTGAATGATCCCAGCTGAGCCCTGACCCCCTTCCCTCTGAAATGCAATCTTAAGTCAGCCTAGACATCAGTCTCCCAACCTTTCCTCATTAGGAACTTATGACCATGAGCTTGCCCTCACATTTAGAAACATGGGGTGGGAAGAAAAGTGGCACTTGGGGCCCATAAGTCCAGGCGTTTGTCTATTCAAAACCCTGTCAGTCACACAGACAGACACACACACACACACACACGTGTACACACTGAGCAGGGATATGCAGCTATTTCCAATACCTTGAAGCAAATGCTCTAAGTCAAGGATTTAAACACTGCCCAGTTCTACCTGTGTACCTTTTCAATCTGTTTCCTGGCAGGTGAAAGGGGACAGACCTTAGCTTAGGAAGTTTCTGTTGCGGGGTTGGCAGTGATGCCCGCAGGATGCCCCCACAGTAGGTGCTGAGTAAACAGCAGCTACTCTCATCTTTGTCCAAAATACTCACGTGGAAGAAGGTTTCCTCCAAGGAGCTCTGGAGGTGGAAACAGGATCCCTGAGCCTTGTTACTGGGACACAGATTTCAGGTCATCGTGAGGGGAAGCCCCGAGTGTTCTCTAACTGTGGAGAGAGCTGTCTTGGGGGCGGGGGGATGCGAGCTCCCCGACATTGGGCAAATTCCAGCTCTTCCCAGACAATCGTCAGTTGGGACGTGACTGAGGAGATGCACGTCCTGCGGGGGAGACTACACTAGTTCCCAAACACTTGCCTGTGGACTGTGGCTCACTAGCTACATCAGAATCACCCCAGAAGCCTGTAAAAAATGTAGATTCTAGGGCCTCACCCCTTAGAGATTTTGATTCATCAGGTCTAGGATGGGGCTCAGATTTTTAAAAGTTATTGCTACCTATCCATCCCACTCTATCTGTATTAATGCACAGAAAATTACCTGTAATGTCTGTAATAGTGTTCACCAAATATTGGCAAGAATCATCTCTGGGTGGGGGGATCTAGGGTGGTAGTCAGCATTTCTTCCTTGGCCTGCCCCTGTTTTTTGATTACTGGCGTATTGGATGTGTATCATTTTTACAATGGTGGAGGAACCTTCGAGAGGGATGCTGGGTAAGAGCTTGATCATCAGGTCGGGTTTGCTGCTTTCTGCCTCTTCCTCCTGAGGATTTGGCATTTGCTCCTCTCCTGGAAAGTGGGGACCTACTAGGATATGGTTTTCCTCGGAGACTATGAGTATTTGTTTCTGACCCAGGTCCTCCATCGGTGTATCCACACCTGCTTTGAACCTGTAGAGTCCTCGGCCCTCCCCATCCTGGATAAGTCGGCTTCCCTGGGACAGCTCTCACCCTTCTTTTTCCCACTCCCATCAGGAGGAAGAGCATTTAGCCATTCATGGATCTTTCCATTCAATAAATATTTACTGGTCCTCACCATGTACCAGACCCTGAACTGGGCAGAGGGCATAGAAAGATAAGTAATACATACCCCCATCTTTCCAGAGCTCATGACCTCATGGGAAAGTAGGGATGAGGACAGATAAACTAAAAGCCAGTGCTGCAGTGCTAGACTGGGAAGATTAGGGAAGACAGAACTGGGCTCTGCTTCCTCCTGCCCACAAATGATGGGAAGAGGAGTGCCCGGGAGGAGGCATCCCTGGGAAGATGGATTGTTTCTATCAAGTCCGGCATCCCGAAGAAGGTGTTGAGGGCTTTAGCTTGGAATCTGGGGTCCCCAATGACCCCTGTTTGGCACTTATTGTCTTCAGCTCAACTAGATCCTGGGGACAGATGGGACAAGGAAGCAAGACCTCTCTGCCAAGGGTGGGAGGGGGGCTGGGCGGAGATCAGTTCTATCAGAAAGTGCTGGAGGGACAAGCACTGCATGTGTGCTGTGTGCGTGGGGCGGAGCTTGAACTGGGGACTTGCATTTCACAAACAGCCTCTGGGAAAGGATCTGGTTAATTTGCTCAGACGGACCCAGCCTCAGCCGGCTCTGAAGATTTGCCATTGGCCAAGTTCACCGGGTCTGTAGCTGGTTCCGCCCTGAACAGCACCTCTTGCTACCTTTGCCGCTTGCTGTTTCTACTCTCCAAGCTTCTGCCCCGCCCAACCCCCGAGACACAGAAACGACAGTAATCACTGCTGAGCTTCAGTTTGCTTCCAGAGAAGGGGCCAAGGGCTAAAACTGGAGGTGACAACTTTGGGACTGTGGGCCTGAGAGGGGCCATGAGGAAATGCCCCAAGAGTTGGCTCTAATGAGTCTCAGGGCCAAACAGAAACACTGCTCTAGATTTCTGTTTCTGGTTTGCCTATGGGAATAGGAACTGGCAAAGTGTGAGCAGCCCCACGGGGAATACACGAAGTTGGCAGTGAGTAGGCGTCCAAGGACTTGGGGGAGCACATCAGAGAGGCGTCGGTAGCTAGAAGAGGATGGGGAAGGCTTGTTCTCCCTTGGGCCCTTCCTGGTTCTAGCTGGGCCTTCTAGGAGGGGGAGGGTGGGAGGGAGAAATGAGGCCCCAGGCTCCTTTCACATTATATGGCACATCCAGGGGAAATAAATGCTCAAGAGAGAGTGACGCCACAGAAAAGAACTCTTTCTGCTATTCCCTTCATGCTGGAGCCCCATGCCTGGCTCTGCAGCCTCGCAAGGCTTTTGGAACTGGTCCACCCACATCAACACTCCTCTGCTGGAGCCCCCTCCACTGGACATCCCCAGAGGGACGGTCAGCTGAGGACACAGCCTGGACTCACTAGTAAAGGTGATGTTGAAGCCCCTCTTCCCCGTGGAGTGGTCGGTCTGGAACTCAAGACGTGCCACGTGGCCACTGCTTGTGATGGAGGAAGGGAGTTGGTTTCCCGAGAAGGTGCCCAGGACTGGGGCCTCAGCCGTGGCCCCGTCCTTGATGACCAGGAAGTCAAACTGAGGCTCCACATCAATGTCATTGAAGGCCAGGTGGATGCGGCTCTCGGGCCGCGCGAGGATAAGCCAGACGCAGTGGAGGTGGTTGCCGTAGTCTTCCGGGTAGTTAGGTGACAGGACGACCCCAGAGGGGCTGGTGAAGTTGAAGAAGCAGGAAACTGCAAGAGAAGAGCCGTGGAGGTCAGTGAGCATCCCTGGTATTGTGCCTGGGCCACTGAGGGCTGGCGGGGGAGCATTTCTTAGTCTAAGAGCAATAGAGAGAAAGGGTGACACGAGGGTTGGGCTAGACTGGCTGGGCTCTGAGCTCTAGGTGGGAGACATGCTGGGTTCCATGCCACACGTGGTGTTGGGAAGGGTCCCTCTGGCAAACCACAGACAAGGTGGAGCTGGTCTTCTCCTGGCCCTCTCTCCGTTTCAGTGAGCCCACCCCAGGCAGGGTCTGCATGCTTCTCGGTCCCTTGCGTTGGGGAAAAAAACCCACCATTCAAGCTTAAATGTAGTCCCAGTGTCTGGCTCCTTTTAGCTGGTGGTGGTCCCCTGGGTGGTAACCAGGGTGGAGATATTCCAAGTCCATTTCTATCTTTTAAACATTTTTAGTGGGGAAATGATAGGCGTGCCCCTGGGGATTCTGCCAGCCTCGAAGCTACAAAACTATGCTAAGGAGGCGCTAGGTAGGCACCATCTTTCAGAGCCCAAAGCTTTGGAAGAAACTGGGGGAGAGAGGTGACAGTGCCTTATCTTGAGGCCCTGCACGCTTTCCAAGGATCTTCTGAAAATCTTTATTTTCAACCCTTTCCATGCCAGTAACTAACAGACCCTGGAACAAGGCTGAGGCATAGCAAAGTGCTATAAATGGAAAAACAAACAAACACTAAACCAAAATTAAAAAGAAAAATAACAGAATGAAAAAGAATTGCAACACATATGCCAAAGGACAGCTATCAATATTGAATTAGGGCTTTTATAATTGTATAAGAACGTCACCAAGATGACCAAACAGTGTGCTCAGGGGATTCATATGAGAGAACATAGGATTACTATGAAAACACAGTCCATTTCACTAGAAAAAAAATAAAAATAAACAACCCATACTGTTGAGGCTTCGTGAAAACTCATACGTATTTATGGCCAGTTGCTATAATCCTTTTGGAAGGGAGTGTATACATTCTCACCAGCAGCCACAACACTCTACAAATATTCTGACTCAGTGATCTCTAGGAATTAATTCAAAAGAAAAAGAGCCACGTGGACAAAGATGTTTACAGGGACATAATTTTATTACAGAGGAAAAACTGTGAACAACCTACATGCCAGCCCAATAATGCGAGGTAAATTATAGCCTTTAATGTGGTGCGGTTCGAACACAATCATTAAAGTGATAAATATGACCCTGTAGAAAGAAGAATGTTAAACATTTTAAAGTAAAACTGTACCTCATAAAATTATATGCATGCTTTGGATTAGAGCTATTAAATATTTACTTATATATGGGTAAAGACTGGACATGAGCCCCCAAATAAAAATTGTATTAGAGTAAAAGGTTTGGGGGTGATAGTTTTTCAAAATGAAAGCAATATTTAATTTTTCTGACTGCAAAAATGATATAGGCTCATTGAAACATTTTTTAATATATAAAAGTGTAAAGAAGGTAGAAACGAATATGGACAAACATTTAAGTGCCTTTATAACATTTATAGTGATGTTTGGTATTAATTATATTGAAATTAAAGTATAATATTTGACTTATTAATTATAATGAAGCTAAGGTGAAAAATAATAATAAAATCATGTTTGCAAAAGAAAAAAATAAGAACACAAAACAAAGGGATTGGTGATTCCTCCCGTTGAGTGTCTCTTTCCTCTGCCTGACTCTACCCACCTTCCCCTTTTCTGCATTAGGTATTACTTTTTCAACCTGCTACTCAAAGCCCTTCCATCAAATTCAGCGAAGTGAACCTGGTCCGGAGGACACAATCAGTCTCATCCCTATAATCTCTGTATTTTATAAGTATTGGAAGTTTGAGTCAAGGGGAGAGAAGGACATGAAAAAGCTTTTAGGCAACACAAGGTATAGTTACTAGTAATTACCATTGTATATTATTGGGCATTTACTAAGTACAGGCATTGTTCTGAGCACTTTCATCAATTACTCAATTTAACTGTCACAAACAGGGCACGAGGCAGGTACTGTTATTAACCCCATTTAAAAATGAAGACACTGCGGCACACAGAGATTAAGTAGCTTGCTAGGGCTGCGCAGCCAGTAGATGTTAGCAGCAAGTTCAAATCCACGCAAATCCATGCAAATTCACATCCACCTGACTCCACGGGTCAAGCCCTTAGCCACCCAGCAACACCGTCTCCCAGCATGAGGACAGTACTGCTCACAAAGTCTAATAGTGGAGTCCTTGGGGGTGTTCTTAGAATCTGTTAAAGATTCATCTGTTAACCCCAAGCATTGTAACAGCCCTGAACTGGAGGTTCTAGGCTGGACACAGATGCCCCCACACAGCTATCTCATCTATGGCTTTGTGGTAGTCCAGCTGGGAGCATAATACAAATAATGAGGAATGTGAAACCAACAAAGACCACTACCTTGAAGACAGAAGGGGAAAAACCACACGGCCTGTCTACCAGCAGAACAACACCAAGGCGGACCAAAGACAAAGAAAAGCTCTATGATTTCAAAGGCACTGAAAGCATGAGAACAAATGGATTTGCTGCAGAGAATTTAATTAACATCACCTGAGTCCCCACCCCGACTCCATCACTCTGTCACATTTTTTTCTTTATACCCTTTATCCAGAGTTGCCATGTTGTAAAGCTCCAGGGGCAACATTTTGAGCAGCTATACATGGCAGATCTACCTATCACTCTCTAAAATTACCTTGTTCACTGGCTTGTTTATGGTCTGTCCCTCCCTCTCCCCAGCACACACACATGTACTCCACGAGGGCAGAAATCTTGTCTGTTTGATTTCTCTGAATCCCTATGGCTCCCACAATGCCTGGTGCATTGTTGGTGCTCAATCAATAATTGCTGAATGAATCAATGAGCATTTAATGGTTGATACCATCTGAAGAGATGGTGACATGGATACGCGTGCCTCACATCCCCATCCCGTTCCAAGCCCCAACCAAAAGAACTGACCAAAGTCTGTGTTAGCTCTGGAAACATGGAAAAAATACTATGCTGTGATCCTCAATGTATGTCTCTTAGACACAGTACAGATCTGTCCCTAAATAATTTAGAGTAGAAAAGAGTACGACCCAAGCAAATTGTCAAAGAACAAAGATGACAGAAACCGCTTCCAGTATCAAAGACCTCAAAAAGTATATTATCCATACAACACTAAAAAAATACTTCAAGATGTTATCAACCCAACCAAGAGATGAATCAAAATGCATAACTCAAGTATGAGAAAGTTATGTTTAATAAAAAATGAAAAAAGATTGGTGATAAGCAAATAAACAATATAGTAAAGAATCTAAATAATTGCTGTAAACATAGTTAGAAAACAGACTGCAAGTGTAACAAATATTTGTTGGAAGAGAAGATAAAAGATATCACTCCTGCCTAAATCCCAGGGTAAAATATTGCAGATTATTCTGATGTAAAGTATAAAGTTGAAGCAAGGAGATATGCTAATTTCCTCATTTTGTAAGAAATTCTGTTATATAGTTTCTGTGGTTAATTAGAGAAATATAGGTTAGAGTGTGTCTTTAAAGATGTTAAGTATAATTAGTAATAGACTATAAAGTAGCTTATCTTCAAAATTACCAAAGGGGAAAAGGCAAAGCAGTCAATTTAGAAAAAAAGTGGAATTCAAAGGAAACAACAAGGAATCAAAAAGAGGGGAAACGTAAAGTAGGATGCTAAAAAAGGAGGAAAAAGACAAAACATCATTTATGATAGCAAATGTATACAGGTTTATCTGTCTTAGAAAAATATAACCCTCATTTTGGGAAAAGACACACAACTTAATGTGACTCAGAATAGTCAAGAATAAGGAAATGGGCCAAGATAGCTCAGACTTCAGATTAGAAGAGTGTTACAATTTACCAATGCCCAGGCCCCAAAGATTCCTATTTATTTGGTGGAGTACACCCAGGGCATCAGAGGTTCTAAAAGCTTCCGGGTGATCCCAGTGTGCAGCCAGGATTTGAGAGCTACTGGTGAAGGCAAATGCAAACCACGAAAAAAAGGAGTTTTAATACTAATATCAGATCCTTGGATGTTATAATATCACACCAGACTCCTGATGATTCTTTTTTTTTCAGTACAAGAGTCCTCTGGACTGCTACCAAGAGACATTTCCTCTTGCACCTGGAAAGAGACGGAGCTGATAAACTGACACTAATAGAACAGAAATGTGGCCCTGTAAAGCAGTTTTCTATCCCAAGATATAATTCAGACTTGTTACAATGAGGGCAGGAAAAGGGAGTGTGCATTGTCCAACAAAGGTCTAACCTCTCTCACTCTGGAAAATTAGGTTTACATATTACAGTAGAATGTTTCTGTTGGAGGATAGAATTTGCTTCGCAGTGTCCCAAATGAGGATAACAAAACGTATTGTGATTGGATCTCATCACTATCAATCACCCAGGTAAAAGAGAAAGATGAGGTACCCTCTCCCTTTGGAAGCTCTTACCACATTGTGCTCATGGATCTTGACCTTGGCCTTGATCTTGACCTTGGATCTTGACCTTGGCCTTTAAATGGTTCAGACTTTTGAAAAATAATAAAAGTGGAAACCTCATTACCAAATGGATGTATCATTACTGTGTATATATTGGATTATTATTCAATAGGACCTTGAGTAAGAAATAAAAGTTTTGTTGAAAAACCCTCTTTTACTATCTTTTCCTCAGGTGTTGTCACTGCTAGTTTTAGTGCTTTCAAAATGATAATTCAGTTACTAGGGACCCAATGAGACAAAACAAAATCTCAAATCCAAAGATGACATTTAAAAACTGGATGACGTGCACATTCCAAAATGAAGATATGACGGTTATGATACATTTGGCCCCAAAACACTGAAACAGACAAAATAAACTAATTTTAGCACAGTGGTTAAGAATTCACCTGCCAATGCAGGGGACACGGGTTTGAGCCCTGGTCCAGGAAGATCCCACATGCCGCGGAGCAACTAAGCCCA